ATCTTTATTTTGCAGGGGGTGGGTTGTTTGTAGTTCCTGCAGGGAAACTTGGAGTGTTTTTTTCCACCTCACTTTATACTGGGCCAGCAGAAAAAGAGCTCCTTCAAATCCAGATTTACCCCCCCCCCCCCCCCCCCCCCCCCCCCCCCCTCCTTTATGTTATGACCAGTCTCTTAACATTTACCCAACTTACCAGAACGTGCTCTAAAAAAAACTTGTTTGCAAGGTATTTTTTGTCTCTGTTAAGATTCAGTGATCTATCTCTTATAGATAGATGTCTAACTCATTGACTTTAAAATTGCGAATAAGCACTACTACTGAATTGCAACTTTGTCTAGAGTCATTTTGAAATCAGGCAGTTTTACAATCCAGTTGTCCCTGTGTGGAGGGATTTTAAGACTGTTCTAGCGAATTAGTAACACAGTTTTTTAGAATGGTCCTATACTAATTCTATGACTTGTAATCCCACTAAATGTAAGGAACAGTACGCTTTAATTAGTGAAAAAGGGCAATGTAGAGAACTTTGATAAATTGCTAGAATACCTCAGGTAAAGGAACTTGTTCTGTTTGGTGTCACCTTCCAGTCACACACTAGATTTACTAGTTATATGAAGAGCAAACTAACATAAGCAAACAAGTGCCTACATGTACTTAGAATACTTAGAGAAGAAGGGTACAATCAAACAGTTATTGATGATTTATTCAATACCATTGTATTACCTAATATTTTATATGGGTTCGCAGTGCATGGGGCCGCTAAAACTGAAGGTAAAACAGCGATTCAGAGTTTTTTTTGGAAAGATGCAAGAAACATAGGTACATCTCAAATAGTATTATAGACATTCATAAACTCCTTCAAAAACAATGTGTAGTTCCAAAAATAATCCATACCCCCCTCATGGAGGAATTTTTTTAAGACACCCCCCTACCCCCAGGAAATACCAATTTTCTTCCATACAAACTCAGTAATTTTTGTTCTTTCTCTGCCTCCCCTACTCATGGGAAATTCCTCTGTGGGGTGGGTATGGATGATTTCTGGAAACTGCACAAATTAGGTTACATTGTAAACAATCCCTGTGAGCAGGGTAAACTGGGATACCTGGAAGCTCTAAGAATCTAAAGGAGAAGTAAAATTAAGTCGCAAAATTTCAAATGACAGTGTTGAAAGCCGTTTGAGGCAGAGCGTTTATGCCACACTCATCAAAGTCATAGAATAACTCAACTCAATCTTGAACTCCAATTCCAGTTCTGGTCCAGATTTTGGCATACGAAAATTCGCACGGGAATTGGATGGCTCACTTTAAAATCAAAAATCTTCATTTAAAACGTAAATACATGTTAATATTTGCTCAAGACCTCTCTCATAATTGCTTTACAATTTATAATTTTATAATTTATCGATATTTTTTAATGAATCACCATTTTTTGAAGAAAAATTAACCCTTTGACTCCTACGACGCCCGAAACCGCCCGTAACAAAAACCGTCCGTATTTCCTACGACGCCCGAAACCGCCCGAAAAAAGGACGC